CGACCGTCGTCTCGTCGGTCGTCTCGACGGTTGACTCGCCGTCGTCTGGTCTTGGACTCGGACTCTTCGGCTCGTCCAGTCGACTTGGCTTCTGCCCCGTCCATCCTCTCGGAGAGGATGGAAAGAAGCCAAGAGGACAGAGGAGAGGATTCCTCTCCTGTGTCCTCGCATCCTGTTTTTGCCAGCAGCCCAGGTCGCCACCGACGACTCGACGTGCTTGGTCAGGGAGCTCCGGGGCTTCGCCAGAGAGATTGCCGTCAAGGATTTGGCGTTGGACGGGCTGCACTGGGCCCCCTGGTGGGTCAAGCTCGTCGAGCTCGGGCACGCGCAGCTGGGCGACTCCGGATCGGCGCGCCCGCAGTTCCTGGACCACGTGTCGCTGACCCCGTCGAAGGAGTCGAAGCAGGCCGAGCTGGTGCAGCTCGAGGCGCAGCTGTTTGACGGCGCGGAGGAGCAGCCGGGCACGGTGGCGACCACCACGAACGGCAACGGCGGCAACGGCGGGGCGGACCGCGCGGTGGCGACCACCACGGAGGGCGGCGGCGGGGCCGCAGCGGCCACCGCAGCAGCGCCAGCTGCCGCTGGGGCGGCGCAGCCGGGCGCGGTGGCGGCCACCACAGGCGGCGGCGCGGCCGCAGCTGCCGCCGCGGCGGTGCCCCCAGGCGCGGCGGCGTCCAGCGCAGCCGCCGACGGGCAGAGCGTGCAGGTCGTGAGCTCGACGGGCACGGGCGTCTGCCTGTCCGCTGCCATTGCTGCGTGGCAGTCTGCGGAGATGGGGCAAGCCACGGGCCCGGTGCGGCCGAGATGCCCAAGCCGCGCACATCTCCAGGGCCCCGTGCCCGCGCCCCCCCTCCCCCCCCACCGCGCGCGGCTCCCAAGAAGCCCGCGGGGCGGGGGAGGGGGGGGGAGGGTGGGGGCGAGGGGGAATCCTGGAGACGTTGCGCCGTGGGGCGTCTCCTCATTGAGGTCGTGCGCCTCTTCATGCTGGAGCTGGAGGCGTGGATCTTCAAGCAGACGATCGCTGCCGTCGGCCTGGCGACCGCGTCCGATTTCGTGGATCCTGATGCGGGGTACGAGCACATCCTGCTGCGCGGCCCGTCGGACACCAAGCACCTTCGTCTCTCCGACAGCAAGCAGAGTGTGGTGCTCAACTTCGCCGGGAGGGTGACGAGGTACCCCAAGAAGGGTGCGCTCAAGATATGCAGCCAGTTTGGGATGGACTTCTATCTTGTACCAGAGGAGTTGAACGACCTGAGCGCCTCCGACTCGTTCGTCCCCGCGTGGGCGGTCCCCGAGAAAAAGAAATCCACCGCCGCCGCCAAGGCTACTACCGCAGGCAAGCCAGCCGCTGGCACCGCTGGCAGCGCCGCTGGCCCCACGATGACCCTCGAGTCGAAGGTGGTCACTTTCACGTTCAATTTCAAGGGGTTGGTGAGGTCGGAGCAGATTGCGACCGACGTCACGTTCTATCGGCTTGAGCGCGAGGGCGACGCAGTCGGCGGCGAGCCTGTCGAGCTCTCGCGCCCCCCCTTCCCAGAGCACGCGACCTCCTCGGCGGCCGTGCCAGCTCCCGGGTCGCGGAGGGCGGCGACTGGCGAGGCGATCGGCGCGAAGCTCCCAGCGGTCCCAGCTGGTTGGGCTGCATGCAAGTTCCTGTTTCAATGAACGACCGCGCCTGTGGGTTGGCGCGCTCTTAGGTTGAGCCTTCTTTACACTCGATCGGCGAAACTGGAGGGAGGGTGGGGGAGCGAGGACGTAGGCGACGACATGACATCACCACGACGTGATGACGTGACGCCTGAGGGTGAGGATGAGGAGGCGGAGGTGTTGGAGGAGGTGGGGGAGGAGGAGGGGCACCGTGTAACCGCGAGGATGGTGAGGAATAGGATGATGATGATGAGGAGGTGGGGGGAGTTCTCCTGAGGAGGAGGAGGAGGAGGAGGAGCAGGAGGAGGAGCCCGAGGAGGAGGATGAGGAGGAGGAGGAAGAGAGGGAGGGAGGAGGAGGATGAGGCTCGCATTGCAATGAATTTACTCAAGCGTGCGGATTCAATGTCGGGCAGGGGCCACGGCAAGCGTCCGACGCCGTCCGAGCTAGATCTAGCTTGATTGTCTGTAGTTTCGCGGCCCTGGCGCTCTACTAGGACCAGGCCGCCTCTCGTTCCCTCCGTGCCGAGCTGCGCTGCAAGTGCGAGGCCTGTCCCTCCTTACCACTTCTCCTCGTTCCCCCCGCCCCGCCCCCCGCTCCTGCGGTTGCCATCGCTTGTGGCGCACCAGCTCGCGCGCAGCGCCCGGGGCTGGCGCTAGCGGCTTCCGAGTGGCCTACACTCGGCACCGACATTCGATCCGGAAAGGCAGGCGCGTCCCTCCGTGACGGTCCGATCATCGTCAGTCGTCATCACAGTCATCACATCGTCGTCGCATCACCCCTCTCATTCTTCCTCCTCCTCCTCCTCCTGCTCCTCCTCCTGCTCCTCCTCCTCCTCCTCGTCCTCCTCCTCCTCCTCCTCCTCCTCCTCCCCCTCCTCCTCATCACCTTCCTCCTCCTCCTCTTCTCTGGACTCTTCCCTTCCTTTTGATTTCCAATAATGCACTGCGGGATCTGTGCGAATCAGGTTTGCGAATCAGGTTCCCCCTCCTCCTACTCCTCCTCCTCTCCGAGAGCCTCTCCCCCCTCTTCCTCCTCCTCCTCCTCCTCTTCAGGCTCTCCTGATCTTCATCCTCGGCCTTCTACGCCTACGCCGCCTCTTGACACTCCCCGTCCCCTCCTCCTCCTCCTTCTCCAACTTCTCCTCCTCCTCCTCTCCTCCTCCCCCTCCTCCTCTTCATCGTCATCACCTGTCATCACCATCCACTTCCTCGTCTCCTTCCTCCTCCTCCTCCTCCTCCTCCTCCTCCTCTCTCCTCCCCTTCCTCGTCCTCGTCCTCCGTCTCCTCCGCCTCATCCTCGTCCTCCGCGCCATCGTCTTCTCCTCTTCCTCCTTCTCCCCTCCTCCTCCTCCTCCTCCGCCTCCTCATCCTCCTCCTCCTCCCTCATCCTCCTCCTCCGCCTTTTTCTCATCCTTCTCCGCTCCTCCTCCTCCTCCACCTCATGGTCCACCTCTTTCTCCTCCTTCCGCCTCCTCCCCCTCCTCGTCCGCATCCTCCGCATCCGCATTATCCTTTTCAATCCTCTTCCTCCTCCTCAGCCTCCTCATCCTCCTTCTCCTCCTCAAGACTCCTCCTCCCTCCTCCTCACATCCTCCGCCTCTCCTCCTCCTCCTCCTCCTCCTCCTCCTCCTCCTCCTCCTCCTCCTCCTCCTCCTCCTCCTCCTCCTCCTCCTCCTCCTCCTCCTCCTCCTCATCCGACGGCCCGACAGCCCGACAGCTCCCGATGTTCCAGGCCTTGTCATGAGTCATCGTCCTCGTGCCCCCGTTCCCGGACCCCCCCCGTCCTCGCCCCCCTTTGTCCTCCTCAACCTCGTCGGGGGCCGCTGCCTCATGCGACGCTTTTTCATGTGGGCAGGTGGCGGCAGCTGGGGCTGCTGCGACACGGCGATGGTGAGGCTCGTGCGTCACATCTCACCTCACCCTCATCCACCTTATCGTCATCATCCTCATCCTCTTGCTCCTCCTCCTCCTCCTCCTCCTCCTCCTCCTACTCATCCTTCCATTTTCAACTTCCTCCCTCATCCTCCTCCCCCTCCCCCTCCTCTCTTCCTCCTCCTCATCACTCCTGCCCTCCTCCTCCTCCTCCTCCCTCCTCCTCCTCCTCCTCCTCTTCCTCTTCCTCACCCCTCATCCTTCTCCTCCTTTCTCCTCCTCCTCCTCCTCCTCCTCATCCTCCTCCTCCCTCCTCCTCCTCCCTCCTTTTCCTCCTCCTCCTTCTTTTCCTCCTCCTCCTCCTCCTCCTCGTCCTCGTCTTCTCTTCCTTACCATCATCATCATCATCATCATCATCATCATCATCGTCACCATCATCATCAACATCAACATCATCATCATCATGCTCATCGTCGACGCCACTCTGGATCCGCTTCCTCGTGCTCTCCGAGTGGCCCACACTTGGCGCCGAGAAGGCAGGCATGCGCATCCCTCCGCGGCGGTCCGATCATCGCTCTTCGTCTCGTCCTCATGTCACATCGTCGTCGCGTCACCGTGTCACCCCTGTTAGTCATCCTTCCCCATCCTTCCTCGCCCTCGTCTTCCCGCCGCCTCTTCCTCCTCCTTCTCCTCCTCCTCCTCCTCCTCGTCATCCTCCTCCTCCTTCCACCTCCTCCTCAGGGAGGGGGGATGCTACTGATGATGACGACCCGTCGGGGCCAACGCGTCGGCATGCTCCCGTCGGGGCGGTCGTCGGGCGTGGTGGGGTCGGCGGGGGGGGCGTTCATGTTAAGCTACTTCGCGGACAGCAGACGCGCACCCCCAACCGATGTGTGTACACATATATATACATATATATATACACATGCATGTATGCACACATACGTATCCATGCCATACGTTTTGAGTGAGACAGGAAGAGAGTATATGCAAATGTAAAAAGGGAGAGAGAGAGAGAGAGAGAGAAAAGCTACGGTGCGGTGGAAGGTGCCAAGCGCGATAAGCACCAACCGCTGCACGGGCGGTGGCGGACTCCTGCTTTTTCTTCATAACTGCTGGCGGGCTGGCCATCTCGCCCAGCAGGCAGGCCACGGCGCCGTCCGACGGCATGCCCGCGCCCCCCGCAGCGCCGCGAGCCGCGGAGGCGCGGAACGGCACCGACGGCGGCGCCAGGCTGCTCAGCCTCTGGGGGGAGGCAGAGGATGATCATGGCAGGCACCGAAGAAGAAAGAACGCCGTAACCAGAAACTTCTGGCGCTCCGCGCGTGTTCCTCGGTTCCGCGCTGGGGCGCCCTGGCTGCGCCTCCAGCGCCGCCCCTGGCGCGCTCCGCGCGCCAGGGAGGGGGGCCCAGCGCAAATCCAAGAAGTCTGCGCGGACCGTCGACAGCTTATGTTTATGTGCCCTTCTCTTCCCCTAAGGCAGCAGCCCCGGGCCAGAGAGGCCGACCTCGAGGAGGGCGCCCGCAAGCGCCGCCGCCACATGCCGCTCGGGGAGCTGCTGGCCGGCGCCGCGGCGCTGGTGCTCGTGCTGGCGCTGGCGCACGCGATGTTGTGCTGCGCCCTGGGCCCCAGCCGCGAGGAGCGGCGGCGCGCAAAAAGTGGCCCCTCGCCACAGAGCCCTCGGGTGCGGGCCCACAGGGGTCAGGAGGGAAAAAAACAATCACACAGAAACAATTAACCATCGATTCCCAAGAACATACGGGAAACTATGGGAAGTGGGGGGAAGACAAAAACCTAGAAAAGATAGGGAAAATCTGGGGGATCCTGTTATGTGTGTCTATTTATTTGTGTGTCCCAGGGCCCCTTCAAGGGGTTCCCCCCTTCGAAGAAGAAAACCCGCCATAAACATAAACTCTTGGCGCTCCGCGCGGATTTCTTGGACCCCCCCTGGTGGCGCCTCCGGCGCCGCCCCTGGCGCGCTCCGCGCGCTAGGGAGGGGGGTCCAGCGCAGATCCAAGAGGTCCGCGCGGACCAGCAACAGTTTATGTTGATGCCGCTTTTTGCTCCTCTAGCCCTGCACGCCTGGAATCGGCCCTCCCTGGCAGCCTCCCGAAGCCGCACACCAAAAAACGTCATTCTGAATCGGGCGCCCGAGGTCCTGACTTTTTCAGCGTGCGGCCCCAGGAAGTCCTGACCCTTCCTCTGGGGCCGGTTTTCGGTCCCGAGTCGTTTCTGACGGTCCCGGGGACCTGTGAGGGCCTCCAGAGCCATACCATTGAGAAGCACATCCGTTCTCATATCATCCGTCATCGAACATTTGCGGTAACGCTTCAGGCGAACAGGTCGCGACCGCAATTCGGCCTCTGGTCGCAAATTCTGGTAACGAGCGGACCGTCGACGTCTTCGACACCCTCGGTTGGACCCCGATGCGCCGTCACTTCTTCACCGAAAATCGACTTCCTTTTGTCGCGACCGACATCTGGCGCGACCGAAATCCGTTACGGGACAGTTCTGATCGCGAATGATCTGGGTCTTGCTGTTTCCATGAAGCGAGGAAGAACCACCCAGACCCCGACGGGTGGCGTTTACTGCACGGCCCGGGGCGTTTACTGAGCAACCCTGCCCTGCTCGATTCCTTCCTTGCTCGCGCGCTTGCGAAACGGCTCCCGCTCGTCGGGGTGCTTCTTCTCGGGGTGGCTTTTCTGACTCCGACGCGTGGGAGGTGGTCTGGATGCCCTGGGCTTACGTCGGGCCTGTCCCTCTACAGGGGGAATGTTCAAAAACAGCCCCCAAAAAATAGTCAGGGCACGAGCTGATTCCATTTTGGAGCATTCTTGGGGTAGTTCTGAGGCTTCGCCCACCATCCGCCTGTAGGGGGGGACACGCCCGACGCAACCCTGGGCCGCTCTTGCGCCCAGCCGCGAGGAGGGCCCGGCCGCTTCCAGCGAGCACCGCCGCGCCAGGAAGGCGGCCGAGGCCGCCGCGCCCCGGCTGACGCCGTACGCGCCCTGGAGCCCCCGCGCCGCCCCGCCGGGCTCGGCCGTGAGCCTGGCGAGCAGCGGCCTGCTCTCCAGGTCCGTTGTTGGCGGCCACTCGCGGCCACGCGCAGAGGGGGTCCAATCCAGGCCAACTAGGCTGCCCTCCTCCTCCTCTTCCCTCCTCCTCCTCCTCCTCCTCCTCCTCCTCCTCTTCCCTCCTCCTCCTCCCCCTCCTCCTCCTCCTCCTCCTCCTCCTCCTCCTCCTCCTCCTCCTCCCCCCCTCCTCCCTCCACAACTTAAAACAACTACTCCAGCTAGGCCTCCTTAGATGGGGTCCGAGTAGATGGGGTCGGAGGTTCGCGCCGAGTCGCCAACGCATCCGCGATGCGGCTCGATGTGGAGCCCGATTTGCTTCATGTCGACGTCCCCGATGCATCGCCGACGTCGACGATGCATCGCTGGTGCATCGGCGGTTCATCGCCGATGCATCGCCGATGTATCGGCGATGCGGCGCGATCCTCCGACCCCATCTACTCCGACCCCATCTAAGAGGCCGCTAGTTCAGGTCAAGTCGGGCATGCCCCTCTTCAGGAGGGACATATTCCAGAATAGTCAAAAAATAGTCTGGGGACGATGTGTTTTGGTACTGTTGAACCATTTGGAGGCATTTTAGGAGGTATTTTAAACATTTCGGCCAAAATCTAGGCCTCCCTAGATGGGGTCAGAGTAAATGGGGTCGGAGGATCGCGCCGAGTCGCCGACGCATCGGCGATGCGGCTCGATGTGGGGCCCGATTTGCGTCATGTCGACGTCGCCGCTGCATCGCCGACGTCGACGAGGTATCGCTGGTGCATCGCCGATGCATCGCCGATGTATCGGCGATGCTGCGCGATCCCCCGACTCCATCTACCCCGACCACATCTAAGAGGCCTCTAGACAAGCTTAAGTCGGGCATGTCCCTATTCCAAAATAGTCAAAAATAGTCTGGGGACGATGTGGTTTGGCACGTTCGAGCGATTTGGAGACATTTTTTGGGGGCATTTTTCTTCATTGGGAGGGCTGACGCGAATTAGCATCAGGACCACGACATGTAAATTCCTGTCGAGGTTTTGGGCAGTCCAGATTGGAGCATCGGTCTGGAAGGACATTCATTGGCAATCTGGAAGGTCAGGGGGGGAGGGCGGGAAGGCTTCCTAGAAGAACCCCTGCTTCTTGGAAGGCGCGGACCTTCTCTGCAAATGTAAGGCTGGCGCCTTCCAAGAAGCAGCCTCCGTCTAAGAAGCCTTCCCCCCTCCCCCCATACCCCCCTTTGCGCGCCGCCAAATCTCCTGGGAGGTTAGAGTCAGGATTGGCGCTGGTAGATCCCTGGCCGAAAACTGGCCTAATGCCTTGAATTCCGCTCCATCCGGCCCGATCCCGTGGAATCCAGCTCACTCCCGCTCAATCTGGTGTCATCCTGGGCGTGAATCCAGCCTGATCTGGCTCAATGACCTCTTAATCGAGCCTGATGGCCCTTAATCGTCCTGACGAAGTCCTCCCAGGGGTTGCCTCCCAAGGTCCGCGAGCATGGCCCGCGTCTCGGACGCGTCGCTGCTGCGGGGCGCTTGCGCGGCCAGCACGCTCTGCCCGCAGCTGGTGGTGCCCGAGAACTGCACGCTGCAGTGCGCGCTGCCGAGCATCGTGTGCAATCGGAGGCAGCCGGGCTCCCATGGAAGGAAGAGCACAAGCTCGGAGGAGGACCACTCGAGACAGCGGCGCCCTCCCTAGCGTTTTTCCTATTGTTGTTGTTGATGCCTCCTATAGGCTTCTCGTCGCCACGGCTAGACCCCCGTCAAAAACTGGTCAGGATGGACCTTGGGAGGGCTTCCGTCTCGTCCGTCTTTGTCTTGTTTGCAACGATGAAGTTTGGGGAGGTAGGGAGGAGGAGGAGGAGGAGGCGGAGGAGGGGGAGGAGGAGGAGGCGGAGGAGGGGGAGGAGGAGGAGGAGGAGGAGGAGGAGGAGGAGGAGGAGGGGAGGAGGAGGAGGAGGAGAGGAGGAGGCGGAGGAGGAGGAGGAGGGGGAGGGAGGAGGAGGAGGAGGAGGAGGAGGAGGTCTGGAGACTGCTTCTGACCGGATTCGAACCAGGCGGGCCCAGGGACCAGCACAGACCGTCCCCGAGTAATACAGCAGCGTGGCGTGCTCACGGAAGCACAAGACACCGATGCCGCTGCTCGGCCTGGAGAGCCCTCGTCGCCACGGCTGGATTCGCTTCGAAAGCACTGATGCCCTTCATCTGTGGGCGGGAAAGAGGACCCTGGAGGGCACGATGGAGTCTACAGAGGCCACACACCTCGTTACGCAATCGTCCTGTTTCATCGCGCTGGAAGGAAACTACCCTTGCGAAGAACCCAACCACTTCTACACGCGTGGAAGATATCA